CCTCCTTTCCTGCTGCTGCTGCTGCTGCTGCTGCTGCTGCAGGCTGCTGCTGTCGTCTCCCTCTTCGCTTCCTGCTGCTTATGTGTCTCTTGCTGAAAAGGGAGACAACAGAAAAGTGGACATGCTCGTTAAAGACATTTACGGAGGCAACTACGCAGCCATCGGTCAGGGTTTAGGGTTTAGGGTTTAGGGTTTAGGGTTTAGGGTTTAGGGTTGCGTAGAGGCAGCTGGGTACTGGAGGGTTTAGGGTTTAGGGGCTAGGGTTTAGGGTTCCGTAGACGGGGCTCGGTGCTCAGGGTTTGGGGGATCTGGGCTTTAGGGTTTAGGGTTTAGGGTTTAGGGTTTAGGGTTTAGGGTTTGTGATGTGCAGGACTGAAGGGAGACACCATTGCTTCGACTTTTGGCAAGATGCAGCATGCAAAGCTCAGGCAGCACAGAAGCCACTGCTGCAGCAGCAGCATAATCTCTCCTCCTGCTCCTGCTCCTGCTGCTGCTGCAGCACCCGCTGCTGCTGCAGCACCCCGTACTGCTGCATCACCTGCTGTGGCTGCGTGTCCCGCTGCAGCTGCTGTATCACCCGCTGCAGCTGCTGCACCCGCTGTTGCTGCATCACCTGCTGCAGCTGCTGCACCCGCTGCTGCTGCATCACCTGCTGCAGCTGCCGCGCCCGCTGCTGCTGCACCACCCGCTGCAGCTGCTGCACCCGCTGCTGCTGCACCACCCGCTGCAGCTGCTGCACCCGCTGCTGCTGCAGTAGCAGGTGCTTTGGAGGGGACTGCAGCAGCAGCAGCAGCAGCTGGGGAGAGAGTGGAAGACGCAGCAGCTAAGAGCGAGCCAACGTCGAAGCTGCTGGACTGCAGCAGCAGCGGCAGCAGCAGCAGCAGCAGAGGTGTAGATAGCGTTGCGGCTGGGTGCCCAGCAGCAGCAGCGGCAGAGTGCTCTTGCAGCAGCAGGAGCTGCTGCTGCTGCTGCTGCTGCACAAACGACGGAGACTGCTGCTGCTGCAGCAGCAGCAACTGCGACGAGTTCAGCGACTGCAGCAGCTTGCTAGACCATCCGACGCACATTGAGTTTATGTGCAGCGACGAGGAAGCAGCAAGAGAAGAGAGCTGCTGC